GCATGCAAGTGAGTTTGCTGATATCTTTGAATTTTGATTGGGATACATTTTATGTTCTTTGTTTGAGTATGCTTCTGCTTGACTGCAGTAACACATGTATACTCAATTCATATTATAACCTCTTTAAGTGTTTGTCCACTCGATTCAGGTTGACATTTTGGAAAACAAGGTTACTGCACTCCTAAGTATTGCGCAAAAGATATATGCGACTCTCGAGCATTATTCTCCTGTCTTTCAGCAGTATCCTGGGGTATGTGGGTCATGTGGCCAATTCTAACTTACTCATCTACCCTGGTCTGTACATACTTAAATTTCTACTCCTTGAGCTGTTTCTTTGAATGTAAATCACTTCCTTTGGATACCTAATGTGATTGAATTTTGCACCTCCTGTGGTCACCTGCATGTTTATGCCTGTTATATGTGAAAGTTCCAAATAATTGGTTTCTGTGCTTCGATACTTCTATATATGTGCATTATGATGATAGATCATTAGTATTTAGTAGTCAGAAGAATACTTGTTCTGTGCATCAGTGATGCAGATGATGGAGAGAATACATCTTCCATTTTCTAAGAAAGAAGATGGGAAGAATCTTACTCATAGTTAATGCCTTTTGTGCAGTTACTGGGTGCTTTCTTGAAGACATGCAAGCTTGTTGCAGGTCTACGGAATAAACAAAGGGATGACTTACAAGATACAACATAAGTTGGAGCTGCTAGGTGAGATAACCTTTCTTATCTTGCACTAAATGGATGTGTTCAAGTTGTACATTCAAGTGAACACTCCAACCCAATTGATTAGATTTCCTATAGATATCCATTTGAAACTAACTTATCATTAACTGGTAGGTACTTAATATTCATATATTACACTGAAACTTGTTAACTGCTTGTATGGGCCAAATATGATTATTAATCATAACCAGCTAGCAACATTCTCTAATCTGTCAGGATGAATGTGTGGCATGCTACTGTAGATTCGTTTAGTCACCTCAAAATCCCGAAGTTCATGTGCAGCCCTGAAGCGTGCCCAAAGAGCGTCCCCTATTGGTTGTTCCTATGTGGCTCAAAATATCATACGGAAACCAACATTCAAAGAAAACTTCATGGAAACCATGTATGAAAGTTTCGCAAAATCTGGAAAAGTGTGGGATGTTAAGAGGATGATATTCTATTGTCATGTGAAATTTCAAGTAAAAACACATTATGGGATGCGAACTAGGAAAAAGATAAATGCAGCAATGAATAGTGATGTTACTGTTTGGCACTATTCAATGCTGATTTTGTCTTTTTCATAGCTCACATCCATTAAAATATTTGAACTTGAAATTTTGCATGGCTATAGAACATCACCCTCTTAATATCCCATATTTTTTGAGATTTTTTCAGAACTTCAAAACATCTTTTTCTCATGGTTTTCACTGGTTTCCATCGAATGTTGGTTTCCGTATGATATTTTCCCATGTGACAGAAAGCTATTCGCGTCCCCTATTGGTTATGTGACATCAGGGGCGCCGTGAGCCCTATGTGACATTCAGGAAGCCCTATGGCAATACATCCGGTTCTGGTGGCTAGTGCGCTTGGTGCAACTTTCCACCTTCCCGGATGTACTCCAGTGGCGTTGGACACTCGACTGCCAGTATACATTCAGGAGTTGCTACGTCACCCTCTTTCAGGG